GACACGTCTAATTTTAGTTTCAGTGTTTATCGCATGGCACTGTGACAGGTCTGACCGAGGTTTCAGCTTTATCGCTTACAGCCAATCCTCTCAGACGATGTTGAAAGACCTGTTATTGGCATGGGTCTTTTATTAGTAGTATATTCCCCTTCCCTTTCCATGTCTTTTATGCATGATATCAAGTGTTGACTTGGTTTTACATCTTTCATAATTCAGACGTAATTCATAGCACGCTAGATTTTTTTTTCCCCATGGAAAGTTTAGAATTTATTTTCCAAATGATAGATATGATTATTCTGAACATCACGGTTGAATGGCGCTTCTTCTGTGGGCGAGCGTGCCCTCTCCCCCCCCTTCCTTTTCCTTTCCCCCTCCTTTCCCCCCTCTCTCTCTCTCTCCACGTCCGTTCTCCTCCTTCGTCGGGTTTGTGGCAAGGCCTTAGAACACCCGACTTCAAGAGAGCGTGTTAATTCCGGGGACCAAGACAATGTCACGGGCTGCGAGGATGGGAAAGGGTAGGATGAAGGGGGGGGGGGGTGAAAGGAGTTCAGTCGTTCTGATTTTTTTTTTTTTTTTTTTTTTTTTTTTTTCAAGGGTTTTTGATATTTGGTTATTTCAGTTGTCAGGCAGTTATTGTTTCTGTCTGTCTGTTCCTCGATCTCTCTTCTTCGGTCGTTTCGCTTCTCGGGATTCGTTTTTTTTTAATTATGCTTTTTGTTTTATTTATTGTCAGTCGTCTATTTTTCCAGGCTTTTTTCGTAATTGATTTTTTTTTCTGTTTTCTGTCATTTCGCTTTTCGTGTATCGGGATTTAAATTTTCAGTCGTTGAATTTTTCTGGTTTCTGCTTTCAGTAGTTTCGTCTTTTTCATACAGATTTTCTTCATGTTTTCAGTTGTAAGTCTTTCTTTTCTTTTCTTTCCTTCTTTCTTTCTTTCAGCTTCTAGAATACTGAACTACTGAGACTCTCTGTCGCTCTGTAGTTCAGCAGATCAGATTTTCCGTTGAACAGACATATCTTCTGAAGCTTTCAGTCATTTAGGTTTATCAGTCATTCGGTTTTAGGCTTTTTCGCGTTCAGTCACTTAGTTTTTAAGGTTCTAAAATGTTTATCATTAAGATTTTCAGGTTTTCGGTTGTTTAGATGTTTTGTTGGGTGGTTGACTCACTCGAGCTTTTCGTTGATTCTGTATTTAGTTTTTTCAAGAGATTAGATGTTTTGTTCCAAAGAGAAAGAGAGAGAGAGAGAGAGAGAGAGAGAGAGAGAGAGAGAGAGAGAGAGAGAGAGAGAGCAAGAGAAATATAGAGATAGAGAGATAGAGAGGGAGAGCGAGATATGCAAGCAGGATTTCTCTGCAACGGCGGAAAGTAGGGAGATACTGAAGGGCCACAAAGAAAGGTGGATTTGTGATCCTATGCTACTACGGTCATTATCGTTCCTGCGTAATTCGGTCATCTGTGGTTGAGTCTAGAAAAATGCATTAATGCACCTATACACACACACACACACGCACGCGCACACACACACACACACACACACGCACACGCACACGCACACACATACACATACATACCTGTTTTTATGTGTGTGTGTGTATATATATATATATATATATATATATATATATATATATATATATATATATATATATATATATATGTATATATATATATATATATATATATATATGTATGTATATATAGAAAGGTTATGTATGAATAATATATGTATAGGTATTAACAAATGGTTCCCGGTTTCTGAAAGGGCGACAGAGTTAGTGACAGTACTGCGTAAAAAGGAATGGAGGCGAGGCGGTATGGTCTGCGCCTCGCGGGACAGACAGACAGATAGACAGACAGACAGACGGACAGATGCATATCATGACAAGAGGCAAATCTCCTTTGGTTATGATGGTATTTGCATATATCTCTTTTTTTTTAATTTAATCGCGAAGGAAGAACTCGTTGGGACATGTGACGCCTCGTGGGAACTGTGCTGGAAGTAAGCTTATTATGAACACTCGGGTCACGTTGGCGTGTGGAGGTCTATGTTGTATTTTGTGTGTGTGTGTGTGTGTGTGTGTGTGTGTGTGTGTGTGTGTGTGTGTGTGTGTGTGTGTGTGTTAGAGAGAGAGAGAGAGAGAGAGAGAGAGAGAGAGAGAAAGTGTGCGTTCTTTTTTTATTTATATAGGTCACACATATTTTATGTAAATGGTTATGTGTGCATGTATGTGTGAATAGAGAGGTCGATGAAAAATAGAATAATGCAATGCCACATTGATATCGATAAAGGTCATTTTGTTCTGTGTAGGCTTATGTGCATGTAAAGATGAAGATTATATTTTATACACATTAGGTATAATTATTATTTTTTATTTTATTTCTGTCGTTGTAATAGTGATATCCTCGGTGTTTCTATTATATTTTTTACTCTGATTACCACTATTACGACCTGCACCATTAGTGGTTGTCTAACCCCCTGCCGGCTTGCCCGCCCACAGAGCAGGTGGCGGAGATCCGGTTCAGCGAAGTGGAGCTGAGCGAGCTGCGGCACGTGCTGGGCGTGCCGCCGTGCATCGTGGTGGGCGGGCAGGACGCGTACGGCAAGGTGCTCGTGGTGACGCGCCTTCTGGCCGAGCAGGTGCTGCCCATCGTGCCCCGCTTGACCCCCGGCCGCGCGTGGCGCCCCGTTCGCCTCAAGCACTCGCACGCCCGCACCGTCTGCCTCGCCCTCCCCGACCATGGCCCGCACGCCGAGGCCGGCTACGAGCTCGTGCACTCCCTCCACGCCCACGCGCGCCCGTGGGGCACCGTGCCGCGCGCCGACGTCGAACTGGACCAGCGAGCCATGCAGGTGGGTAGGCGGTCTGTTAAGGACTGACCGTCATTACGTGTTGATTTACAGTATCGGTGCCTTAGTAATGCTACTCTGGTAGAGCATTGATTGGGAAATCGCCAGTATTAAGACATGATTACTAAAACATTACTTTGTCATTATCTTTATTATCCCTTTCCGTCGTTATCGCTATCACCATTGCCTTAATATCCGTCCCTCTATCACATAGCCCCTAATCGCCGGCCTCCCCGTTGCCTTGCCACAGGACCCCGTGGTGGGGAGCGCCATGCTGGAGGTGGGCCTCCCACACCCGTTGCTGAAAGAGGGCGTGCAGGTGGTCATGACGCCCACCGTGCCCCACAATCGCGCCCTCAACACGTCCATCGAGTTCCTGAGGGCGCTGTTGCCCGAGGTGCTGCCCATCATCGTCTACGCCATCTCGCGGGACGACCTCTCCGATGCCGTGAGTGTTCGCTCCCTTTATGCGTTGCTGTTTGGTGCGGAGGTGCGCGAGGCTCCGTTGTGTCTGTGAGGGTATTTGTTATGGGTGAGTGGATGTGTGGTGTGACTGTATCCAGTTTTGTCTGGTCTTATTGGAGTGCGTAGGTAACATTCATACGATGTTAAGCCTGAATTGATTTATTCCTCCGTCGATCTCTCTCTGTTCCCTGTCAGATTTCTGTCTGCCAGTATGTTTGCCTGTCAATCTATCACCTTTGTATCTATATCAATATTTATTTCTATCTATGTATCCAACTTTCGTGTCCCCAGCGCACCAAGATGTTAGCTTATGCAACGTAATGTCATCGCGCAAAAAGACGTAGGTGCATAGTCGAGTCGCACGTTTAGTCGTCAAATGAAATGGGGTCCTCGCTTATAAGAGTAAGAACAGGAGGTCAGAAAGCTGTAGGAAAGGGGGGAATGGTAGCAAAAAACAGCCCTTGTTATCGGATACGCTAAAAACAAGGCTTTGATATGCCGACGTGGACGTCTAGGTGAGGCCCTGTTCAACTCCCCTTCTTTCTCTCTGTGTTCTGTCGCTGACCTTTCTTCCTCTCCTTTGTTTTCGTTGGCCTTTCTTTCTCCCTTCCTTGTTGCTATCTTTTTGTTCTGTCTTTCATTGCCGGTGACCTTTCTTTTTTATGTTCTCTTTCGTTGGCTTTTCTCTATCCCATCTTTTCTCGTTGACCGCTTTTTTCTCCTTTTCTATTCTTCCTTCCCGACATTCACACGTTTCACCATCGTTTCTTGTATTGCTTGTTATACTCCATTTCTCGTTTGTATTCGTTCTCTTGCGTACGAGTATTTTCTGTAAGCTGTGATACCTATTGCGTATTATCACTTTTGTTTCGTCTGTCTTGTCCAACGACACTTTGAGCACTTTCCTTGGCTGAAAGGGAAAGGAGGATGTGGTAAACAGTAAGAGTCAAAAGTTAAAAAAAAGGATATAGAGAGAAAGAATGAATTTTGTAGAACGACCTAGATGACCTGAGATATGAGGGAGGAAGCAAATAACAGAATGAATATTAAAAGGGGAATTTTATCTGAGGAATCACGGCGCCCTATTATCGACATAGTTACGATTCCAGTGTCCAATCAAAGGCGTTCCACGGAGTCCTACCCTGGTGGGGGGTGGGGGGTGGGGGGGCAATAGGCTAGGTGAAGGGCCGTGCATGCATATGCGATTAGATATCTTAGCGGGTTACGTAAGTCGAGCGGAAGGGAAGGGGAGGAGCAAGAGGAGGAGGGGGAGGAGAAGGAGGAGGAGGAGGAGGAGGAGGAGAATGAACAAAGGGAGGAGAAGAAGGAGGAGGGAGAGGGAGGGAGGGAGGGAGGGAATAGACACAAAGAAATGAGGGAGAGACGAGCTTGACCTCCGACGAAGGACAAGAAGCCATAGGCAAGAGAGGAGGAGAGGGAGTGAAGGAGAAGAGAAGAGGGAGTGAAGGAGAAGAGAAGAGGGAGTGAAGGAAAAGAGAAGAAAGAGTGAAGGAGAAGAGAAGAGGGAGAGGGAGAGGAAGAACGGTGCTAAGTGATGGACAAGAAAGGAGAAGGGCTTTGCTAAAAAAAAAAAAGAAAGGAAGAAGCAAATGAGAGAAAAAGAAATGGAGACAGACAGAGGGTGACAAAGAGAAAAAAGTGAAGAGAAAGCGGAAGAGGGAATT